TCGCGCCCGTACCAGACTGGGACCGGCAACGGGATCGCAACCCTCAGTGTTGCACCCGCACCTCGCTCAGCCAGTGAGCGGGAAACGGTCTGTATGTGGGATCCGAACCCTCAACAGGAGCGCCGCCGCGCTCCCAAGCGGCGCACTGTAGCAGTGCGCCACCGGGCCGGCCCAGCCATCTCATTTTTAATGCTTACCAAGAAAGGTAGAGGAAACACCGCAGGTTCCTCGAACAGGGCCAGAGAAAGGTCTACACAAATAAAGAAGTATGTGGCTCCTCGCATCAGCCAGTGGTTATAAAAATAGTAAAGTCTGCAGAGGAAAAAACAAAGGTGCTTATAAGCCAAACGCAGGAGTGAAACGCACCCAAACTTCCCTTTAAAAGACTAATGGTGGGTAAAAGAAAGAAGCTATTGCATGGTCACGTTTCTTTTAAATGCTAGGGAGCAAAGGACAGTATTTAACGATCATATACTACAAACACTACAGAAAAAAAAATCAAGGAATGCACATTTCCTTACCAGTCTGAACTATGCCTTCTTCGTGGGGTAGTTGTGACAAATAATAAAGAGAAAACTTTCAGAGGACTTTGGACAGTGACTGATGCGGAGTGAACCCCTCAGTCAAAGTGACCCATTGTTATGTGACATGGTAGCCTGAGCCGATTTAAAAACGTACATGATCCCTCCTAACATGGTAAACTCGGAAGAGATCTGGTGGTCACGTAGTTCTCTTCCTAGGTGGGGACAGTCCCCCCCAAACCTGCTCAACAGCGTCCAGGGATGAGGCTCTGGCTGGTTTTGGAAGCACTGGCACTCAGCCCTGATAATAAGATAACATTTTTTCTTTATTCTGGACCAAATACTTGGTCTTAGTTCTGCCCTTAAGGGACGATAGAGAAAAAACTGAATTCCCCTGAGAAAAACCTATGGATTGCAGAAAGGAAAAGAAAAAGCCTTCTTTCCACGTTAGGCGGCCCTAAGAGGACAACTATAGCTAGGAGGAAAAGGCGATGACATTCTCAGTTTGGATGTCCCATCCCCTGTCCTGGTGTCACTCACTTACTCACTGACCTGTGCTTAATCTACTTATCGAATGCTTCCCTATATGTGAGGCCCCATGAGCTTATAACTTAAAAAAAAAGCATTAGTTTATCCAAATCTCTGTGCCACGCGTTAGATACTTCTCAAAAGTATTTGTGGAAGCAATGTCCCCAGTTTGGGTTCAACTTCAAGAATATAAGTGCTGAAGGGTGGGTGGTTCTGTGTGACAGGTTAACACGTGAATTACCTGATGGCCTGAGGCGATGTTTCAAATGGAACATTTCTGCTGTACTGGGCATCCGAAACGTAGGCAGCTGCCAGGAGAAGGTCCTGTTCCCCACGGGGAGAAAGTAAAGGGAGAACAACAGTCAGAGTAGGAAAGGACATTTTTTATTTTCCTTTGTCATATGCATCAAGTATAAAAAGCAACTCCCCTTCTCTTCTCTCTGAACCCCACTCTCCCCAGAGGTAAACCAGCGTTAACAGCGTGGTGTGTACAGCGTGGTGTGTACAGCTCCGATGTCTCCGTGGGCACTGAGCTCTGCAGGCGCTGAGCCACGGCACACTCCACTTTCTTGAATCCAAATATAGGCTCTCAGAGGAGGAAAATAAAATAAGAAAGCACCAAATACAACATGTACATGTACTTGAGTGGTATATTTATACATACATATACTTGAATGTAGGGTTATATGCACATATATATATAAGTACATATATACAAACACAAATATATATAACACAAACTCACGTACTACATATTTATACTATATATATTTATATATAAATATAACACAAAATTATATTCCTTTTATACTTGCAAGTGTTAACAAAGATGTGGAGCGACTGGACTCTCATACATTGTTGGTAGGAATGGAAAACGGTACATTCACTTTGCAAAACAGTTTCTTAAAGAGTTAAAAAGTATGACGCAGCCATTTTGCTCCTAAGTATTTATTACCAAAAAAAAGACAGCATATGTCAACGCAAAGACTTGTACATCCAACCAAAAAATGTGGCTCATGTTAGACACGCCATACCAAAGTTGCACTTGTATACAGATGTTCACGGCAACATAACAGCCAAAAACTAGAAACTACTGAGATGGTCACAGATAGGAGAATGGGTAAACAAACTGTGACAGATCTACACAATGGAATGCTACTCAGCGATAAGAAGGAATGAACCAATACATTCAANCACGTACTACATATTTATACTATATATATTTATATATAAATATAACACAAAATTATATTCCTTTTATACTTGCAAGTGTTAACAAAGATGTGGAGCGACTGGACTCTCATACATTGTTGGTAGGAATGGAAAACGGTACATTCACTTTGCAAAACAGTTTCTTAAAGAGTTAAAAAGTATGACGCAGCCATTTTGCTCCTAAGTATTTATTACCAAAAAAAAGACAGCATATGTCAACGCAAAGACTTGTACATCCAACCAAAAAATGTGGCTCATGTTAGACACGCCATACCAAAGTTGCACTTGTATACAGATGTTCACGGCAACATAACAGCCAAAAACTAGAAACTACTGAGATGGTCACAGATAGGAGAATGGATAAACAAACTGTGACAGATCTATACAATGGAATGCTACTCAGCGATAAGAAGGAATGAACCAATACATTCAACAAAATGAATGAATCTCAAGATAATTGTGCTGAGTGAAAGAAGCCAACATCCCCCCAACAAAGAGTGCCTACTGTGTGACTCCATCTATATAAAACTCGGGAAAGTGCAGACTAACCTATAGTGACAGAAACCAGATCAGTTCCTGTATGGGGACATGGGTAGGAGGGGATGGAGAGAGGGATGGATTACAAAAGGTATAAGGAAAGTTTTGGAGGTGATGGATCTACTCATTATCCTGTGCATGGTGTTAATACCACGAGTACATTTACAAACCAAAACTCATCAAGCTGTACACTTCAATAAATGTAGTTGAATGTATATTAAGTATAGTTCAATAAAGCTGCCAAAAATTGCTCCAAAATGAAAAATGCTTGGATGAAAAATTGACGTGGAACAATAATCTCAGCGATGAATTAACTGCCGTAGGAACTGATCACTTTTTAAGTCACCTGCATTCTCAGGGCTGGTATGGCAATTCTGAAAGGCAGGTTATTAAAACCTAAGAAGCACCATAGAAATGTGTTGAACACTTAGCATATGTATTTCTTTTACATATTTAAAAAACATTTTAGTAGAAAAACTATTCATATCAGTTATTTTTTCTTTTTTTTCTTTTTTCTTTTTTGTCTTATTGTGACCAGTAAGGGGATGCAACCCTTGGCTTGGTGTCGCCCACACCGTGCTCAGCCAGTGAGCACACCGGCCATCCCTANTCTCCTCTTCTTTTAAAGCCCTCAGAACCACGCCCCTGACCACCATTTTTAATCCATTCGCCACCACATGGTCCTGCAATCCAGTCACCTCTTCAAGGCCCCTCCTTTCAATTACCATAATAGGATTTCCCACCCTCCTAACGGTCACAGTGGGGGCCAAGTTTCTAATACATAAAACGTGGGGGACACCATTCAAGCTTCCGTGAGTTTTGGGGGGACACAATTCAATCCACTACAGACAGCCATTAAGACAGATGTGAAAGCAGAGAAGAGTTGGGAGTCAACATGAGCAGGTCATCCATTTATTATTTAGACATCTGGATTAGCTGGTTAATTTGATATATTACTCAAAATCACCTGTGACCAGCTGCTAGGCACCAACAAAGATTCTAATGATTTATGACTATGAAAACAGTTGAAAGTATGGTGGTTATAGCAAGTCACATGCACGCTGCATGACAACATCTTCTATGTCATTAAGTAAATACACTTTCAAACATCATTATACCATCTCTCTTTCCCTTCTGTGCACAGAAGACCAAAAACTTCCATTGTATTTAAAATGCCTTATGATTGAAGCATCGGTTCAGGGAGGAGACAGACAGAATTCTTCCAGCCTCCAGCAAGAAAAATAAAATCAAACTCATATTTGTTGACATTTGAGGGAAAAAAAAGAAGAGGTGTGGGGCCCAACTCATCTGTGACAAAAACCGGTCAGCCATCTCCAGACCAGGACCGGCAACGGGATCGCAACCCTCAGTGTCGCACCCACACCTCG